ATGCTCAGAGCTTCGGCAGTGCTGAGTTGCTGGATTTTACGACATCAACGGTGGCGCGCATGTGAGATTGTGCGTGCAGACAAGAAACGAGCTTTCAGGTGTGTACGAAAGACCCGTGGACGTTATCAGTCTCGACATCAGACAGCGATGTCTTATCATGAACCCGGCCGCGGAACCTTCAACTGGCTGGAATGTAGTCGATCTGACTGGCGGGCGATATGACCGTCGTTTGATTATCAGGTCAGCACATGCTTGTGGCGATGCCGGAAGCACGTGCTGGTAACAAACAGCCGATTCTGATGAAGGAATATTCAGCCTTCTGTTACCACTGTCGCATCGAGAGCCAAGCCCAAATCAGCCAGTGTTTGACAAGTCGCCGGGTCTAGTCCGGCCATTCCAGGCCCCGGCAACAATCAGCAGACCACTGCGAGGGCGTCATTCCACTAACTCATGCAGATACTAGTAGAAGGTCTCCATGTTGCGCTGTTCGGCAGCTGAATTTGGTGCGTACATGGAGACAACACAGATGTTAGTAAAGTGACCCCCCAGTCACGCGTAAACCATCCGGTCATTGACTGGTTCCCATGTAAGTGCTGTATTGTGTGCTTGTTCCGAGAGGTCAACAGCCACACACTGTCTACCAGACGAGTCGCGTGAACCGTTGTACCACAGAGTGAAATGGGATTTGGCTCCCGGATCTTTATTTCTCTTGTGTCTAAGTCGGGATTTGGACTTCAGGCAGGCATCAGACATCCACTTTGTACTGATGGGGTGCGTGCGCCGTCAGACTTTGGGCATTGGGATCCACAAAATGTCGTACATTCCAGGATCCAATATCAGTAGTCTGTTTGTGGTTGTGTAGTCCAGCTCGCATACTATTCGCCCGCACCACTGAACTAGGGTCGGGGACACCGTAGCGTGCATCTTAATACCGCAGTTGGACGTTTTTCACGGTAATCCCGATTTGTTGTACTGAGCCATGTGTTATCCCATAAGCTGGGAGAAAAATAACGGTGGATCCTAGGTATTTTAATCAAAGCTGCAGGCATTTTGCCATGGTATATAGATGCGCAGGTGACATTCTCATACGCTGATGTCGTTTAATAGATGTACTGGTAAACCTACTATATGCAATTTAGTTTTGATAATACATACTTATATAGCCACCATATTTAATTTAGTAGGATTATTACTGCATTCAAAAACTCGGAAAGCTTTAGTATCCTTGGGTACTCTTAGTTTTATTAGTTTGAGTTTTGTTTTAGTTTATTAGTTTAATATAGATTTAGTTAGCTTAATTTTTAATTCAATTTAGTTTTTTAAGAAACATACGGCTGCTTGTCGGCTTATCGTACTACAATATCTGTCCAAATGCAAGACAAGCTATTGCGGGTTTAAAAAATGGGGAAAGTTTATCTTTCATGGTTTTATTTTAATCTGTAAATTCTGATCCAGGGTCGATATTAGTTTGTAGCCTATTTGAAGGTACTTTATGCACAGACCTTCTTTCCTATTGGTTTTATTTGTCATTTGAATTATCGCGTGCAAACTTTTGGTTAGTTTACTAGTTGTTTCCTCTTATTTTCTGCTTTTGTACGCCAAACTTTTTAATTTATATTTTCCTTTCCTGTAGTATGGCCCAACCCTAAAATCCCTATTGACACCGCTCCCGTAAGACAAAATGATGGAGCTAGGGATACCTATTTACTTCCAAGGAAAGGCGTTCTTTGGGAAAATGAGGAAACTTTATTCACAAAGGACTCCTTTCCTCGAAATTACCTTTCTTGGCATGCCTGCCTTCCAGTTTATGCCTAAGTACCTCGGCATATGATAATGTTGCCGACGTGTGCTTGTTTTGCTGATTGCTTTCGACAAAATTGCGTATTCGCGCCCGTTAAGTAGGGGCGTTTTAAGTGCGTTTGTCAACGATCGCAGTAGAAAGGTGCTTTTAATCTCCTTTGAGGAAGCGTTCTATCTAGAGGCAAATTCTTTTTTTTCAAAATGGACAGCCAAGTTTTTTTGATTCAATCTTCCTAGAAGTATACCTCGAAATTCGAACCGACTGTGTCTTATGATAAAAACCCAAGTCAACCCGCCCTCAGCAACTGTTTTGAGTAGCCTTCGGCGTACTCTTGTAAGCCATGTCACTGAAGATAAACAGTTCGTTGAGTGCCCATCCATCGTTATTAATATTCCCGATCGAGACTGACTAGCCCGCGAGTACTTACGCAATGGGGTAGAGCGTTGGAGGTCGTAGGTTCAAGCCCCGGATGCCGCAACATCTGGGATTGGTTATGGCTGGTTGATGATGTCTAATAAGCCAGAAATGGGCATTGTCCCTTTCGGTTGTTATTCAATCTATATCATCAGCCATTGTGCGGTTCCTGGAGGGGTTTGGAAGTGATACCCAAGACACAACAGGACGAGTGAGTCCGGAAACCGATCGGTGGGCGTGATATATCATTATGAATGATTCAATTGAAAATATGAACGAGGCAAAGATCATGAGACTAACAGAATTTATTAACGTCATACAATTTCACGACCTCTTTTTCAACTGCAAACTGAAGTTAAGTCCATTATCGATCCTTACCACGACAATACGAGGTTGATTACGTGATCCAGCTGCTTACCGTTTTTTTTTTACTTTCTACTCCGTATTGTAGTGACCTCCGCAAATCGTAGGCGACGCCCGGTGGTCGCCCGAAGTATGATCTTTAATGCAGTCCTTTGGTCGACCGTATGACCAGTGTCGACTAGGGGCTTCGTGATGAACTCTTGAGTATTTTATTTGCGCACCCTGTGAACACTGACCATACGGTAGACGCGGGGACTGCATTTAAGGCCATACTTTGGGCGACGTCCGGGCGTCTCCTAGGATTTGCGGAGGCCGCTGCAATATGGAGAAGAAAATCAGAACTCTGTAAGTAGCTGGATCATGTGATCAACCTCGCATGGCAGTGGTAACAATCGATAAACTCATTCCCTTCACACCGTTTCCTTCCCCTTACGACCGACTGCTGCTCTGTCCTTCCCATCCCCCTTTAATCACCCTTGGCAGGCTTTCATTGCAACATGAACTGTCTGGCGACGATAAATACCTCCCCCTTCCTCCACCCCCTCGCCATGCGCCCACATCTAAGACTCAGCCCCTGCTCTATTTACCTTCAAGTTTCACTCCTCTAGGTCGATACTTATTTGGACAGTTGATAGACGATGATGGCTTGCAGTTGAATAAGATGCCCCAAATTTGCATGACGTCAATAAATTCTCTTGGTCTAGCGATCTTTGCCTTGTTCAAATTTCTTCCGGGAACACAATGTTTCAATTTAAAATAAATTTCCTAGAATTAACTCTTTACTGTCTCCTAAGTTTAGTGGCGTGCTGGAGTCAATTAATACTTGAGTTTGCAATTTTGTTTGGGATCAAATATTAACTTCGGTGTTAAGTCATTGGCAAGAAAATTGTAAGAACAAACAATTTGTTTGAACATTCGACTTGGTGCATATTTTGCATGCATTAAATGTTCGTCAATATTTGCATGGACAAAACGCTGAAGGGAGTAACGAAAAGAACCTTTCTAAGTCCTGATTTCGGTAAGATGGTTGAGAGGACTGAGAAGATCCTACACATTTATGTAGATACTATCATATATCTTTTTTCATGTGACAATGTTACTTTACCGTACTTCCGGCATAGGTACTAATTTACACCCCGGATATATTTTTCGCCGATTCATCATGCTTAATTTGAAGTCTTTAAATTGCGAATTCACGTAGTTCGTGCGAATGGCCATTTAGTTAGGGACCATCACTGTTGTTTCGTGGCCCACTTGTGATGTCCATAAAGCGCCCCGTTCTTTTTTTCTTGTATTCGGCAAATTGATGTACCCTAGCAATTTCTTCTTGTATTTAACTTCTCAGTTTCCTTTAATTGAGGTCACCTTTAAACATAACTGGTTTATTTCTCGCTGCAGTAAGTGCCGCCGAAAATGAGGCTTCTGATTCAGAGGCCGAGGCCGAAGGAGGGCCCGCTGACTCTGGCCAAGAGGACTCCTTCAAATCTCTTACCCATCGACGTGATGATCACCTACGGTCAGAGATTTCTTCTCGGTCGAACTTATCTGATTCCCATCACAAATCAGTAAGTTGTATATCGTCTTCATTTCGATGCATTTGTAACCTGTGCCGACATATTTGATAGTTTTTGTTCTAAAAAACTCACTTTCGTTATGCGTCGATAGGTCAAGGATGGCGACAGAACCGAGGCTTCCGCTCTTCAGAAAAAATCTCCCGATGGAGGAGGCAAAGCCGGTAAGGCAGGACAGACCGAGGAAAAGATGGCCACCGGAAGAGTAAGTGATGTTTTCTATTTTCTGCTGACCCACTTCTGGGTGGTTAGTCTGTTTTGCACCAATTTCGTTGTTAGAATATCAAAAGGAGATGTTAGTTTTTTTTAAAAAAAACTTCTTTGCTGTTGTTTATGCTTGGCTGTTGAATACTTATCCAGTAATGTTAAATTCGGTTTGATGAGTACCTTCTTCAGTAAATGTCTGCACTAGTCATAGGTAGAGAAGAAGAAAAGGGCGTGTCGACCCCCGGAATCATGGTTTTATTCGTCAGCGATAAAAGCCTCAACGGAAAACCACCATCAGTTA